TTTTAGCTCAAAAAAGATTACGTAGCTCACGCCTGTAATCCTAGCACTCTGGGAGGCTGAGGCGGGCGGATTGTTTGAGCTCAGGAGTTCGAGACCAGCCTGAGCAAGAGTGAGACTCCGTCTCTACTATAAATAGAAAGAAATTAGCCAAACAACTAAAAATAGAAAAAATTAGCCGGGCACAGTGGCACATGCCTGTAGTCCCAGCTACCCAGGAGGCTGAGGCAGGAGGATCGCTTGAGCCCAGGAGTTTGAGGTTGCTGTGAGCTAGGTCAACGCTACGGCACTCTAGCCCGGGCAACAGAATGAGACTCTGTCTCAAAAAAACAAACAAACAAAAAAAGATTACGTGACCTCTGATATGAGTTATGAGTTAGGGGAAATCTTAACCTATGTCCCAATTTCCCTTCTTTGATGTTTTTGTGACTCCACAATGTGGAGGATCCAGGATTAATATATAGGAAGAACTTAAAGGTGACAGTCCAGTGCAAAGGGAAGCAGTGTGGGACATTTCTTTTAGCTGAATTTACATAGCAAGCACACTGCTGTAGATTTTATGTTCATGTAGCATGGCTCTGATGAGGCTTCTCATCTCCCTCCTCCACAATTGCTTCAGGGTTTTGGAACGAAGAGAAAAAAATTAAACCCTTGCTATGTATTCTCTGCAGAGCATTTTGCCAGTACTATTTTTTTTTTTTTTTGAGACAAAGTCTCACTGTGTTGCCCGGGCTAGAGTCCCGTGGCGTCAGCCTAGCTCACAGCAACCTCAAACTCCTGGGCTCAAGCGATCCTTCTGCCTCAGCCTCCCGAGTAGCTGGGACTACAGGCATGAGCCACCATGCCCGGCTAATTTTTTCTATATATTTTTTTTAGTTGTCTGATTAATTTCTTTCTATTTTTAGTAGAGACAGGGTCTCGCTCTTGCTCAGGCTGGTTTCGAACTCCTGAGCTCAAACAATCCGCCCGCCTAGGCCTCCCAGAGTGCTAGGATTACAGGCGTGAGGCACCGCCCCCGGCCCCAGTACTCATCTTTTTTCACCTCAGTTGGGCCCCAAACCCACAGCCCATCCCCTCACAACCCTCAGTGTTGGCCCACCTGGACATCTGGGCTTCTGGGGCTGGAAAAGGCAGATACAATAGGTTGGAAATGTGGCACATGGCTTCCCCCATCCTTGGCAGGCCTGATACCAGGGAGGAAGGTGCTAACCTGAGACTCTTCCTTCTAAATGGGACAGGAAGAGGAAGTAAGCAGCCCAGTCCAGGCTGGCTCAATAGCCAGGGATAAGAGAGAAGAAAAGGGAAGGGAGAGGAGGGCAGCTACTGCTTACTTGAGCCGTTCCCTCCAGGATTCTGGGTTGAGCCGCCTCACTGCTTCCAAAATTGGCATGGGCCTTAGTAGTGCTGGGGTGGGTCTGAAGCCACCCTCTCCCCTTCTCAGGATTCTTGAGAAAAGGACAGAAAATCCCTCAAATCTACCTTCCCTTTCTCCTTCCCACAGATCCTAACGGGATCAGACTTCCTATGCTTGGCCAACTCTGGGGGAGCATTTTGCTAATCCAGGCAGACTGGGTATGCTTCAGCTCTGTGGGCTTTGGGGCCTTACTCTCATTCCTAAGCCACTTTGTTTGGCTAGAAGCCTTTCCACTTACCTGTGGTCCCTGGTTAAGTTCTTCCAAATCCACGCTATCTTCCAATTGTTAGAGTCCCCAATTCAGAACCAAGAAATGCATATGTCCTAATGTCAGTGATTAGTTAGCAGGGATGATCAGGAAGGTCCCTTCTGAGGCACTCAGAGAGGGGTTCCTCCCTCCACAAGTTGTTTACAATTGTCAAGTGAGGTCTGGAGGTAAGAAGAACAATTTCAGACACTATCTGTGAGATGTAAAGTGGCACTTTTTGGGAAAACATTTCAGCAGTATGAATCCAGAACCTGGGAAAAGTCAGCTATTTCATTTCTAGGACTTTATCATAAGTTGAAAACCAGAGACTCAAGGATTTGGGTACAAAAATGTTAATATCAGCACTATTTACAATAGCAAAAAATTGGTAATGATTTGTAGGCTAACCATGGGAGGATAGGTAAACAATGTTATAGCCATACCATGGAATATTAATTACTACGTAGACGTTACAAAGGTTTTTACATATTTTTAATTACATGGGATAGTGTTAACTGAACAAAGCAGGATATAAAACAATTATAAAATATTCCACTTATATAAATGTGATCTCCACCCCATGTAGGTATAGAAAAATAAGACTGAAAGATACACAAAATATATTTATACATTTGAATAGAAAATTTATTATAAATATTAATAATTATTTCTGTTATGGGATTCTGGGTGACTTCTTTTCTCTTTTCGAAGTTTTTACTGTAAGGTTTTTTTTTAAATAAGGTCTTGCTCTGTCTCCCAGGCTGGAGTGCAGTGGTGCTGTCATACCTCACTGCAACCTCAAACTCCTGGGCCCAAGCAATTCTCTCGCCTCAGCCTCCCAACTAGCTGGGACCATGGCACGAGCTACCACCCTTAGCTAGTTTTTGTATTTTTTGTAGGCACAGGGTCTAGCTATGTCACTCAAGCTGGTCTCAAACTCCTGAGCTAAAGCAATCTTCCCACCTTGGCCTCCCAAAATGCTGGGATTATAGGTGTGAGCCACCATGCCCAGCCCACTTTTCTATTTTTATCAGGAAAGAAAAAAATAATTTTAAGGATGACTGCTATGTGCCAGCCATACTGGAGGATGGTCTCTCCTACCCTACACATTTCACACCAAATGGGCCACATGTGGAACCCAGACATCTCTCCCTTTCTGCATTGTGCTATCCCCTCCCCATCACCACAGTGTATGCAGAACAAAATTATTTTGCTACCAGTCGGAGGTAGACAGAAGCGACATTTATTGGGGAAGAAAATACCTATGCTGTCACATCAAGGCCAGAAAATAAAGTTCTGGATTATTTCCATCCCTCTCCGCTCCATGACTGTAGAGAGTAAATGCTGAGGGTGCTTGGATACGAGGCCATAAAGCTCTAAATGACGCCTTCCAGCCCCCACACTTGGTTTGTTTCAGTGAGAACTGGGCCTTTTGTGACGGGTAAGCATCAAAACCCATGACCACAGCTATCGGTACTGTTTTCAAAAACATAGCACCTACCCTTATGCCCTCAAGAAATTGTCCAGCAGCCTGGGCGTCAGAATTCCTGGGCTCCAGGACCCACAGGTGACTCACAGCCAGCCCTGGGCTGTGCCTCCTGGCCTCAGTTTCCCTGGCTCGCTCTGTTGATACTCCCCACCTACTGTGCAGGGTGTTAATAGGGGTGAGGTGCTTTGAACTCCTCAGATGAAAGAGGCTGGGAAGCAGCACCCAGTTATTATCCCCTATGCAGCCAGGCGTGGGAGCTGCGGTCAGCTGCTTTCATACTGTTCCAGCCACAGTAGCCTCCTCATAGCCCCTTACTCTTCTGCCTTCAGCTCTGGCTGCCAAAACCGGAAAGCAAAGCTCGGTCACCCCTATTTCAATGCTGTTTCAGAACAGATTTTCCTAAACCGAATTCACAGACTGCCAAACCATCAGTGACCTATCTTTCCTTTGATTTATGATTCAGTAATAACACTTTTCAAGTGCCTAAATTCTTTCTCCTGATTGGCTACAAATCCTGTGGGAGAAGGGCTGTGACTCTTTACCGGTAAGTATACCAAGGGAGGGACACTGACAATTCACTCAGCAAAGTGGGCTATGAGAGAGTCAGGCTGACCAAAGTTCAACTCCTCATCTTTCTGGTTCCTCATTGTAAAAAGAGTAATGGCTTAGTAACAGTCCCCATCTTGTCTATCTCTAATGAGGATGTGTGTGGAAGCACTTTGCAAAATGCTAAGCCCTTCACATGTGTTAAAAGGCTGGAATGTCTGCAAATAGGACTTGTGGCACAACAGTCTTTCCCAGGCCATCAGTCCCTCCGCTTCTGCTGCCAGATTACACCTGTAAAAAATAAGTCTGGGACGCCACCTACTGGTTGAAAACACGAACTGCATTTGACCAGCTGCAAGAACAAAGTAAGCCAAACACCAGTATTTCCCAACTTTAAGCCATTTTGATTTTTGCCACAACCTCATAACAACTGTCATATTATATACTTAATGTATTTCCCTAAACAACTCACTTTGTATAAATTTCATTTTTTTTTTTTTTTTGAAACAGAGTCTCGCTCTGTTGCCCTGGCTAGAGTGAGTGCCGTGGCGTCATCCTAGCTCACAGCAACCTCAAACTCCTGGGCTCAAGTGATCCTTCTGCCTTAGCCTCCCGAGTAGCTGGGACTACAGGCATGCGCCACCATGCCCGGCTAATTTTTTCCATATATTTTTAGTTGTCCAGATCATTTCTTTCTATTTTTTTTTTTAGTAGAGACGGGGTCTCGCTCTTGCTCAGGCTGGTCTTGAACTCCTGAGCTCAAACAATCCGCCCGCCTCAGCCTCCCAGAGTGCTAGGATTACAGGCGTGAGCCACTGCACCCGGCCCTAAATTTCATTTTTGAAGTAAATTTTTAATCACTACTGTAAATGGAAAACTAGTTAATACCAAAAATAGAACAAAAGCATAAAATAAATACAAAGAAACTAAAACATTAATAAGGTCTAGCTAGAAGTGTTGCCTATGAGGGCTTGAGCTTGAGGTTCACTGTTAAAACTGGATATTGCTTAGTGCAGCGGCATGCCTGCAGTCCCCGCTTACTTGGGAGGGTAGGCAGGAGGTTCGTTTGAGCCCAGGAGTTCAAATCCAGCCTGGGCAACACAGCAAGAACATCCCTAAAAAAATAAAAACCAAAACTAAACAATTGGAGATTGCTTGTCAATCCTCTAGTATGATGGATCCTGTGCTTTGGAGAAGCACTGACCTGCATGAAGAAACAGGACTCTTGCGAGGGAAGGTGACATTCCCTTGTTCTGCCCCAATCCCCTGGACCTGGAGGATTGAAGAAGTTTGGAAGCCATAAAAAGTAGAAAATAAACTCTCATAAACTCAGAGCTCACAGCCTGAGTGGGACCAGAGCTCAAATCCTGGTGGCAGGGCCCAGAGTTCATGGGCACCACAGAGGCTGTGGTAGGTGCTCTGCTTGGTGCCATGTCTGGCTTGTTGGCCAGAAGTCCTTTGCGGGGCTGGGTGTCCCCTTGCCAGCTTCCCAGCTCTGGCTGGACTTGCTCTTGGGTCTGCAGCTTGCTAAGCTGTCTGCTGCTTGCCGAGAAGCCTCCACTTTCCCCACTGCCGGGTTATGAATCCTGCTCTCCAGGGCCCAGCTTGCTGCTATAGCTGCATGGCTTCTTGCTCCACTGACTGGTCCGAGGGGGCCAAGTACTTCTCCTGGATGCCCAGCGTGCTGAGGGAGGGCGTGTCAAGGCTGATATCATAGGCAAAGGATGGGGAACTGGTCTGGGCAGGATCTGACCTCTACTGATGCCTACCCTCCAATGATGTCTGGCAAATTCCTTCCATCCCTCTCTCTTCCTCGTAATTATAGCTTCAGGCCATAGGCAACAGGGACCAAATGGGTATCAGAAGCCTTCAAAAGCACCCAGATCCAAATGCTCCTATATTTGCCTCTTCCCCACGTTGCTGAGGATCCAAGAACCAGAAGAGTGCTAACCTTCCAGCTTTATTATAGCACATGTTCTGGAGTCAGACCAAGGGGGTTCAAATTCTGAATCTGCCACTTCCTTTTCCTTGAACATAAAATATTGAGAATTGTGAGGATCAAATGAGACAATGAATATCAATCAAATGCCTAGCATGGCACCTGGCACACAGTAGGTGCTCAATTAATGTTGTGACTTCTCTTTTTCTACGAAGGGAGGGAAGCTCAAAGAAAATGAAAAATTTCTTCTTGGGTCGTAGAGTACCTCCTCTCATTCTCCAGGACAGCAGGAAAATGGAGCTGGAAGGACACAAGTCAGATTCACAAAGGAAAGGACAGTGACACTGCTGATGGAGTCCTGTGAGGCTGGCCGGCCTGATGTCTGGGTATGAGGTCTGACTAGGAGATGGGGGTTGGCCAGAGCTAGGCTGGCCATGTTGGGATACCACTGCTTGTGCTACTAGATGATTCCAATGTCAGAAATTGAGATTCTACACCCAGGGAGACCTTGGGCCTGTCACTTTCAGGGCCCTGTTTGCCTCACCTATAAAAGGGATTGGAATGAGGATTAAATGACCCTGCAAGTGGAGTACTTAGCCCACCATATGATGTTTGGGTTACAGAGCTTTCTTTACTATCCCTCATGTATCCATCGATCAAAATCCATCTCACCCCTACTCAAACTCTTTCTGAACCTGTGCCCCCATTCCTCTTCACTTCTCCTCAGGAGATAACGGCCTTGTTTCTGTGTAAGTGAGCCTGAAGGATCACTCAGGATCAGTGGAATCATCTTGCTTGTCTCTGGCCTGAAGCCCACATCCCTGAGCAGGGCACACGAAACCCCGTGTTCTACCTGCCCACCCGTCTGGCCCTATTGCTGCTCCCCAGTCAGAAGCCCTGCCCTGCCCACAAGTCATGTCATTCTACCTGCAACTGTCATATTATATACTTAATATTTTTCTTTAAACGATTCATTTTATATAAATAATTTCATTTTTGAAGTAAACTTTTAATCACTACTATAAATGGAAAACTAGTTAACATTTGCCAAAATAGAACAAAATCATAAATAAACACAATGAAAATAAAACACTAACAAGGTTTAGCTAGAAGTGTTGCCTATGAAGGTTCGAGCTTGAGACAGAGTCTCACTTTGTTGCCCGGGCTAGAGTGAGTGCTGTGGCGTCAGCCTAGCTCACAGCAACCTCAGACTCCTGGGCTCAAGCAATTCTACTGCCTCAGCCTCCCGAGTAGCTGGGACTACAGGCATGCACCACCATGCCCAGCTAATTTTTTTTTATATATATATTTTTAGCTGTCCAATTAATTTCTTTCTATTTTTGGTAGAGACGGGGTCTCGCTCTTGCTCAGGCTGGTCTCGAACTCCTGAGATCAAACGATCCGCCCGCCTCGGCCTCCCAGAGTGCTAGGATTATAGGCGTGAGCCACCGCGCCCGTCCCGACATTCGCTGTTAAAATTGAAGATTCAACAATCTTGTCTCAACAACAAACTGTCTCAACCTTGAACCCCCAGGCTTTTGCATATACTATTCTCTTTGACTTGAATTCCCTTTTTTTCTTCAGCAGCCTGGCTAGCCCTCACTTTGAGATGATGCAACTCAAATGCCATGCCTCCATGAATCTTTCCTTATCTGCCCACTCCTCAGTGCTGCTGACCACTCCCTTTTTTGTACCACTCCCTACTGAACCTTAAGGGGTTAGGATGGGGGCAGAATCTAAAATCAGCACAAATGTATATGGTTAAAAATACCCTTGAAAGGCCGGGCACGGTGGCTCACGCCCGTAATCCTAGCACTCTGGGAGGCGGGAGGCGGGCGGATTGTTTGAGCTCAGGAGTTTGAGACCAGCCTGAGCAAGAGCGAGACCCCGTCTCTACCAAAAATAGAAAGAAATTAATTGGACAGCTAAAAAAAAATATAGAAAAAATTAGCCGGGCATGGTGGCGCATGCCTGTAGTCCCAGCTACTTGGGAGGCTGAGGCAGTAGGATCGCTTGAGCCCAGGAGTTTGAGGTTGCTGTGAGCTAGGCTGACGCCACGGCACTCTAGCCCGGGCAACAAAGTGAGATTCTGTCTCAAAAAAAAAAAATACCCTTGAAAATTCCTTAAATCATTTGTTAAATGTAGTACACATGGTTTTGTGAATAGAATCCTATATGATATGCATGAATGTATACAGTAATATACAGATGCTCCTCTGCTCATCATGGGGTTACATCCGGATAAATACACGAGTTGAAAATGCATTTAATATGCCTCACTTACCCAACATCATAGCTTAGCCTAACTTATCTTAAACATGCTCAGAACACTTACATTAGCTGGGCAAAATCACCTGACACAAAGCCTGTTTTATAACAAAGTGTTGAGCACCTCATGTAATTTACTGAATACTAAACTGAAAGTAAAAAACAGAATGGTTGTACGGATACTTGAAGTATGGGTTCTACCGAACACGTATCGCTCTCGCACCATTGTAAAGTCAAACCATCCTAAGTCTGTACAATGTGCAAAATATTACAACACTATTTAAATTGCTCCTCCCCTCTTTTGCTGAGCACATAAAGTTGAATCTGTCAACAAAAATGCCAGGTGTGAGGCAGCTCCTTGGTCCCTTCACCAGGAACTGCACACTCTACTGCCATCATTTATAACTCATCTGTCCCCTAGGAGCTTTGTTTCCCACATGAAAGGGCCTGACACCAATCAATATGTGTTGGCTGGAATTATTTCCCTCCATACCCAAGGAACCTGGAGCCCCCTTGTCTTCAGTATCCTGTGTGGACACTGAATCTCTGAGAACATCAGCCGAGCCTGGACTTCCCTGTCCTGCTTCACACATGGCCTCTGTGATCTGACAGACACCCACCCATGACGTTGGCTCCACCCTCACTGGTCACTAACCCAGCTCCAAAGAGTCTAGCTGCTGCTTGGACAGTTCTGGATGTCCCATGGCCCCCTCAAACACAGCACATCTGTTGGCTTCCATTCCTTTCATCCATGTGACAAACCTGCCCCCTCCTTTTCGTGCCTCAGTGACTAGCATGACCACCCATCCCACTGTCTAAGCCAGAGACCTTGGAGGCTAAGTTCTGTTCCATCTATCCCATAACCATTCAGTCACTGACTCTTGTAGTTGATCTCCTTAAAATTTTTCCAATCTACACCCTTCTTCCTATTCTCACAAATGTTTCATCCTTTCTCACCCAGCAAGACTAAAAAACTCTCCCGCTCCCAATCATATCCCTTAAATGCATTTTCTGCACTTGCAGGGGCTTCTCTCAGATGCACATCTGATCATGCCATATCCTGTCAACAGGACTCACTGAACACTGGTTCCCACCATGAGCTGAAGTCCACACTCCTTAGCAGGGCCCTGACTACCGCCCCCACGCCCCTTCACATGCAACACACCTAGCAGACTGAACTTCTTGCATTTCTCCCAGTGACCAATGCCCTCCTATTTCTGGGCCTTTGTATTTGTTGTTTCTGCTGATTGATATCCTCCCTTGTCAGTACAACCAACCCTGAAGCCTTCTAAGGGACTAGCCTTTGCAAAGGAAAGACGGTCACCAGGGCGTCCAGCTAGGTCAGTATGAAATCAGTCATCCACAACAGTGGTGACTGCACAGCCTGTGGCCATTCCTGAGCCCGATGTCTCGCCCTCTTGGTTATGACCAGAAAGCAGGTTAGGCTAGAGAGCAAGGATACGAGGAGAAATGGAAGTCCGCTCCCACTGCAGCAGACATCATAGCCTCCAGACTTTGCTGCTCTTGGACCCCAAAACAGTAGCCATTGGCTTTATCCACAGCCTGCAGGACTCGTTGAATGCTCTCCTTGTCCTGAGCAGGGAAGAGAGAACAGCTCTGTGAGTGAAAGAGAGGTGTGTAGAACTGCTTGCAATCTCTAAATACACCCTCCTCCATCTCTCTGTAAATGTAGCTTCCTTGGCCTGGAATTCTACATGTCTCCAGAAGCCTGGCTAAATCCCATCTTTCCTGACCACCCAGATTAGACCAGATAAGCTCCTCTATGAACACCCATAGTCCTCTGGGTTTATCCCTATTGCAGATGGTATTTCTACCATCTTATAAATGCTTATTACAATCTGCCTCCCTATTCAACCAGGCACCCCTTAAGGTCAGGGACTCATTTGTCAACGTCCCCAGTGCCTGGCACAGTACTACTCTCAAGTAGGCAACCAATAAATATGTGTGTTATTTAACCTATAACTGTTTCCTCATCCACATACAATGATAAAAATAACTCATATATCACATGGTGGGAAGGACAGATCAAAGTAATTCATGTACAGTCCTTAGCACAGTGCCCAGCAAAGAAAGCCATAAATAAGTAGCAGTTGTTATTATTAATATTATAGAGTTCACCTCCTATTAAAGAAGAAAAGTGTGGCATTAGAAAGGGAGAGATAAGTTAGCTCAAGTCCACCCATGCAGAAAAAAATCTAGTATGCACCCGTGTGTTTCCTAGGTTATTTTTGCAGGGTGTGAGGTGAGTGGCACAGAGGTTAGGTACCACATTGCAAAGTTAACAGGCAGTTGCCCAGTTGAATGGGCCTAAGAGACTTGTTTCTGGTCCTGGTCAAGTCCCTTGCTGATGACTTTCTGAACTCATTCATTTTCACTGAGGAGGGAAGGAACACATGTAGAGAGGGCCTAAAGATACAGGATAGATAGATACAGCATAGACAGGGCAAAAGTTCAGTCCACCCTCTTTACTGGAATCCTTCCTACCATAGGCCCTGGGCCTGAAACCAAGGGAACCCAATGACAGTGAGATACAGAAAAAAGACCATCGTAAGTTTTCAAAACTTCTTGTGTCCTTAGCTTGGTGAGTCCCAGGCACTGTCAGAGCCTATAGCCAAAGGAAAGAGACCTCTTAGTCCCCAGTACCTGGATGTTCAGAGGGATGAAGGAGACTAGGCTATAGTCTTCAATGAGCTGCACCAGTTTCTCATTGAGCTGGCGGTAGTGGCGGAAGAAAGGGTCAGATGCCAGGTGATCAAGTAGGTAGGAGAGGTCCAGGACCTCTGTGTAGTAGTCCAAGTTGAAGGCTAAGGAGAGAAACCAGTGTTCAGGAGCAGCTAGCATCAGGCTAAAGACCTGAGGACTGGGACCATATTTTCTTTCTGTTTTGTCTTCATTCACTCAAATATTTGTTAACAGAGCAAAATGAAGTAACTAAGAAGGAAAATAGTTGCTTTCACCTGCTGGCTCTGCCATTTACTAGCTATATGGGCCGGTATCTATCTCATGGAACTGTTGTGAAGATTAAATGCTATAAACCCCAGTGCCTGGTACAGAGAAGTGCTTGGTCAATGGTAGTAAATAATGATACTGAACATATACCGAGAGCTGTGCATGGTCATCTCATGGAGCTCACAGTCAGATAATTACCCCAGGACCTGGCACACACACTGTAAGACCCTGTAAATGCTGGTTAAATTGAATGACTGCTACATTCTAGCAGGGTGGCCTCTTGAGTAAATCCCTTTCCTTTTCTGGGCCAGTTCTTTCTTTATGTAAAATGAGGAGACCACACTAGATTCTATAAACAATTTCCCACTAACGGCAGGTAAGTGCGCCTCCCTATACTGGCCCATTTCTGCCCAGGAAACTTCAACCTCTCTCCCTGCTCACGTGCTGGTCATTTCAGCTGTCTTCTCTAGGTTTCTTTGTGGTTAGAGATGCTATTTGGCAAACAATGTCCCTAGCTCAGGAGAACACTAATTTGGCAGGAAAAAAATGCTGGCCACTGGGACCCTAGGCAACTCCCAACTCATACCAGCCTGCTTCTCCCTCTATCTTCCCTACCTTGTGCCTGGCCTCCTACTCCATGTCTCTCTGCCACACGGGCTTAAACAACGGTCTTTTTCTGTAAGGACACAAGGCATCTGTCTAGAAGCCAGAAGCAGGCTCTTACCAGACACTGGATCTGCTGGTGCCTTGATCTTGGACTTCCCAGCCTCCAGAACAGTGAGAAATAAATGTTTGTTGTTTAAACCATCTGGTATTTTTGTTATAGCAGCATGGACTGACTAAGACAAGGCCTTTATCCCTGCTGGTCCCTCTGCCTAAAACAGTCCTCCCTTGGCTGGCTCTTTCTCACTATTCAGGTGTCAGCTCAGATGTCACTGCCTCAGAGCAGTGAGACATTGCTCACTCCCCTCCCTTCCAGTCACTCACTGTCACATCACCTTGTTTTAACTCCTTCGTAACACATATCACCCACTGTAGCTCCCTTGTCTCTAAAATCCACAATAATATCTGGCACAGAATGGCACAAAATAAATGAGTAGGAGTCAGAACCTGCCTATAGCTATCACCAGACCATGCATGGTCCCAGAGGCAACTTCCTTCACCTGAGATCTCTGCTGTACTCTGGCCCCAGCTGCTGTCCTACTCCTTGCCTGCCTGAATAGGAGCTCTTACCCAGCTTCCCATAGTGCTCAATGAGGTCCATCTTGGAGAGGAGGTTGACATGTGGCAGCTCCACGTGCAGCATGGTGGCCAGGGAGGTGCACAGTACTGAAATGAACTTGGCTGGGTCTGTGCAGTAGTGAGAATCCACAAGGTGGACAGCAGTCAGCTGCGAGGGGAGGAAGAGACAGGTTGAGAGTGGCCTGGGGAAGCAGGAAACATCAGGGCCTATGTCTCCCTTGTCAGAATGGGAGACTGAGGACAGAGTGCAAGCCTTCCCCATTAGTCTCTGCCTACTTCTAATAGTCACATTCATTTCCTTCTCCCAGGAAATATGAGGCATTTCTTACGAGATGCACTGCACTGAGCCACCCAGTGGGCAAAAGGGTCAAATCCCACTGCATGACTCCACTCTTTCATTTACTTTTGACCACCTTACAACCACCACCGCCATGCCACTGCCTACATAACCCTTTCCATTCTTCCAAAACTCTCGAGTTGGCTACTAACATATCCATTTTACAGACGAGAAAACTGAGGTTCAGAGAGATGAACTGGCTTACCCATACCACACAGTGAGTCAGTGGCAGAGCCAGAATTCGAACTCACATCTGTTTTACTCCAAAGCATCTCAGCTCCTACCTCGCTGTGTGACATGGGGGCATGGCATCTGTCCTCCCTGTCTCAGTTCCTCCAACTGCAAATTGGGCCTGCCCAACCCAAGACGCACCCTAAGGTCCCACTGTGCCATTTGGGAGAAGATGCTCCGCAGGGCGCCGTGATGCGTGCAGAGCTCCACCTGGCCTGGGCAGTCGAAGAGGAAGTAGTGGCCGCGGAGGGGGTCGAGCTTGGCACGCAGCCAGTCCAGGTTGGCTTCCAGGTACTCCATGCAGTAAAGCAGGCCGCCGTTGGGCCCCAGCCGCAGCGCGTCCATCACGTCGCCCAGCCCCACCAACTCGCCCACGTCCACGGCGCACTCGTACGGCAGCCCCTCGTTGGCCGGGTCCAAGTTCACTACGGCCACGCGCCGGCCCAGCGCGCGCAAGAACTCACTCATGCCCAAGCAATATGTGGTCTTCCCCGAGCCCGGCGGGCCGATCACAGCCTGCCCGAAGGCCGTGGTCGGGGCGGCCCCAGCCATGGGCGGAACGCGGATGCGAACGGAGCAAGTCAGCTCAGCCGGAAAACAGGGCGAACAGCCGCGGTGGGGATAAGACCGAGGGCGGGGAATCCGCGACGTGCACTTCGTTGGGGGCCAGCAGCCGTGCCCGGGGTCGCCTAAGGTGGAACAACCTGAACCCGCGGTACGCCAAGGGGAACTAACGGGTCGGCACTGAGATACCAGCTCTCGACTTCCGGACGGCGACGGAAGCGGCGGGCTGCAAAGAGGATGTCCCGCCCCCACGGTGGAGACGCACCTCAGCGCTGAGGGGCGTGACGACGCAGCCGCGTTTCTCCCGCCGGAGAGAGAGTGGATGTGGTGACCCCGCGGGGAAACCTCTCGGGATTTCCCCGACCTTCCTTTAGGCTCGAATTAGGAGAGAAAGGGAGACGCAATAGTAAACTTTATTCTTCCGTTACGGGGCAGACCCGAGCCACCTCCGCGGACTCTGCGCTGCTCGGCCTGAGCCAGTGAGGGTAGAAGCGGTGGGGGGCCCGCCCCAAGACCGTCTCTTCCTGTGAGCACCACAAATGCTCCCCATCTCTGGCCCTCACGGTAACCCCCTTCAGACTCCCCAAGGAAGGCTGTGCCGAAAACCTCACCCAATCCAGCTCTTCAAGGTATTGCGGTAGGCAGCACGGGCTAGGATTAGGAGACCAATAAAAAGAGGTCATTAAGCCCTTCACCAATATCCAAGGATTTTGTAAAAATGCCCTTGAGGTGGAGAACCTGTAGGCAAGCTCAGAAGCAAAGCACCCTGAACAGGCCACGAAGATTGCTGCTCTCTGGCTCCTTTCTGCTTCAGCGGTAGATAAGGCCCGGGAAGAGGGTTTTCCTGCAGCTCTGAGTGATTCTGACCAAGGAAGCCCCCAAACCAGTCACTCAGGCTCTGAGGGGCTGTCCGAGGCACCGCTGGAACCGCTCACAAAGGCCATGTCTGTCCGAAACTTCATGCTAGTGGGCGGCTGGCGGCGGAGCAGTGACTCCCTCTGGTCCTGGGGTAGAGGTTCATCATAGATGGTGGAGATGAGCCCCAAGCCAGTTCCACGGGGCCTCTTCAGTTGGCCAAATGGCTGCAGCTTCTCTCCATGGTACCTGGATGAAAAAGGGCTCTCAATGAGGGCTGCTCTCTCAAACCCCAGGATAGGGGTTGCAAAAGGACAGGGAAGTAGCTACTACATATCTGGTTTGTCCAAAGATAGGCTTTAAATCTGGATCTTTGCTCTCCAGCCCCCTTATCTATCCATTGACAGGCAGTGCGAGCAACCAGGGGCCTCTAATAAAATTTTCATTCTGTCACTACAGACTCCCTAATGGCAATCATCAAGTCCACACTCCTCAGATGGCAGAGTAACTCTCAGGGGATCATGATCCTGTTAAGCCTTAGGGCTTCCTTGGTCTAAAAAAAAAAAAAAAGGTACCAAATCCACTTTTTTCTTTTTTTTTTGAGTCTTACTCTGTTACCCTGGGTAGAGTGCAGTGGCATCATCATAGCTCACTGCAGCCTCAAACTCCTGGGCTCAAGTATTCCTCCTGCCTCAGCCTCCAGGGTAGCAGGGACTACAGGCGTGTGCCACTATGCCTGGCTAATTTTTCTATTTTTTGTAGAGACGGGGCCTCACTCTTGCTCAGGCTGGTCTCAAACTCCTGAGCTCAAGCAATCCTCCCACCTTGGCCTCACAGAGTGCTAGGATTACAGGTATGAGCCACTGCGACCTGCCTAAATCCACTTTTTTCTTCTAACTTTGCTTTGAAGTTTATCCCAGCACCCATCCCAAAACCAGTGGGAAGAGGGAAACCAGGGCACAGATGAAAGGCTTAGGCCCCAGGAAAGTCACTCAGCCACACTCACCCCAATCCATGTTTGCATCTAGGGTGCTGGCCATCACCATCCAGGGCCTCAGGCACCCCTGAGCACCTGCTGCCCAGGCCCTGGCCCTCCGCCCAGCCCTGCCGCTCCATCACCTTCCGCCCAATGCCCTGTAGAGGGAAGGGACAAGACTCTGGAAGCGGAGCTCCTGCTGGGAGCGGGGGGCATGGGATGGGAGGAGAAAGAATGCAGGCAGAGAGGAAAAGAGAGGGTCAGTGGGCTGGGCACAGTGCTTACTCACCTTGGTGTGGCGCTCAAAAGTGCCCACCTGGCGTCTGATCACAGAGCCATCTTCCTGGCCATCTCGGAGTCTCCGTTCCAGACGCATTTGGACAGAATCTCGGGCATCCTTGTCTCCACCATCTGAGGAATGAGAGCCCAGTTTGTGGAAGGGTCCCTTGCAGCAGAAGTGGGGGAAACCAGGTTTCTAGGACCCCCCTCACAAGATTTACTTATTCATTTGAATGGTGTTCTGTTATCTCTCATTAGACTGGAAGTGAGCTCATCAAAAGTAGAAACTGTGGCTCTCCCTCATCTTACAGATTAGGAGATTATGGTGTAGAAAAGTCACAGAGCCAACATATGACAGAGATGGGATTAGGACCCAGGTCTTCTCTCCCCACCCCCAGGCCATTTTTGACTCCAAAATCTAAACTCTCACCAGAGCCTGAGCTCCTGACCATCCCACTCTACCAGGGCCTACCCCTCAGACCCAGAGCTCCCTGAGGGCTGTTCTCAGGTGGACTGCCTTCTCTACCAGGAAAGGACAAAGCTCTGTCCACAGCTGGCACTTAATGTACTCAACTATAGGTATTTCAAGAGAGGAAGCCTTTCACAGTGGGCTACCCCAAGGGAACTGGTCCTGCCTGTCTCAGCCTCTGCTAAACATCTCTGGCAAAGTGTCACTGCAAGACCAGGGCACCAGTTCCAACTCCCAGTACTGCCACCCCTTGCCCAGTACCTCTGTCGTAGTACACGCTCATGTCCACGTCCCAGTCATCAGCCGTCTGTTCATCAAAGTCTGCAGGGATATGAAAGCATCCAGCACAGTGGGTTAAGGACTCAGTAATACTGAAAGCTAAACCTAAAGTTAGATACACGTTTCAGAACTTGGGGCTTTTGTCTGTATTTTTAAATTTCTCTTCTGGGAGGGTTATTTAGAATCAAGGGAGGGGAACAGAATTTTCTCTCCACCTCACTGATCCCCTACTCCTAAAGAGCATGACTGGTCTCATATACAACAAAAGTCAGCCTGTCCCCTGGCCTTTTGTTTGGGCTCACTGCCAGGGAATCCACCCTGTGGAACAGAGAACCCTGACAGAATGTAGCAGGGATCACCCCTTCCCTTGCCCCCCGTGCCAGCATTACCTCCTTCTTCCTCCTGCCAGAACTGAGCATCGGTGTAGAACACCAGGCCAGAGCCACCCTTCTCCCACTTGAGCTCAATCTCCTCCTCAAAGAGGCGTTCAGTGGTCCGCTCCTGCCTGGTCACATCCTCATGCAGTGCTTCGTGCCGCTCCCACTCCTCACCTCGGTCATCGTCCTGGGATAAGGCGGGGAGACGTGACCTGCCTCTCTACCTTCCTGACCTCATGCCCAGAAGGAGGGAAGCTCAGGGCACAGGTGACACGTGAGATGGGCCCTCAGCTCCATTCCTTCAAATTTCTCTGAGAAGCAACACTTATTGGCCCTTGACCAACACACCTCTCCAGCCCCTGATGTTTCTCAACATAGTTTGCTCCTTTCCCCACAAGCCTCATTCTCATCTCTGTGCTTTTGGCCATGTTGTTCCCCCTGCGTGAAAAATATCTGCCCTCCTTTCCCACACCTTTTTCTCCTCCACTTAGTGAAGTCCTTGTCCCTCAAGTCCTCCAGCTTACACAAAGCCCCTCATTCTTAGGCCCATGGCTCTCCCACTGGTCTCTGAACTCTCAGTACTAATCAGTACATACTGTTTAGGCCTTTGTACTTGTTGTCATAAAGAAAGGACAAGAACAAACACTTACTGTCTACCATGTGTCAGGCCCTTCCCATAATTTAGCTCCTTCAATCCAGCTCCCAACAGCCCTGTGAGATAAGTACCCACTCTATAGATGAGGAAAGGAAACCTAGGTTCAGAGGAGTACTATTTGTCCAAGATAGTACACCAAGAGAGAGTAGCAGAGCCAGCATGCAAACTGAGGTCACCGCACCATGCAGCTTCTCGAGACGCTGGTTCTTTCTCTTTGGGGGAGATTTTAGGCTCTTTAAGGGCAGAAAATGGGTCTTAAAATGGCTTTGGAATCCTGCACTAGCCCTTGGCTTACAACTGTTTGACTGGACTTGTGGAATGACAGGTGACTCCCGGCTTGAAACCCTGGGGGCTTTGTCTTGGTTAAACTTCAGGAGGCCTCAGGATTCACAGAGAAAGTGCTGGAGAAAAATCAGGATGGTACCACACTAAGGATGTGTTAGCAACTCTCAGCTGGGAGTTTTGAAATGTGGGTGAATTACTTTTTACCTGGAGTACACATTTTAAAAAAAATTATACCTCATTTAATTTTGGGTGAACAACCAACTTTGGAGAAAGGAACCAAAGAAATGTCTATTTCACTGATAGAGCAGTGCCTAGTGTTCAATCCACCAAATCTAGGTCAGAAAACAGAGGTGACTGGCCTGGCACAGTTGCTCATGCCCATAATCGTAGCACTCTGGCAGGCAGGAGGATTGCTTGAGCTCAGGAGTTTGAGACCAGCCTGAACAAGAGTGAGACCCCATTTCTACCAAAAAGGAAAAAAAAAAAAAACAGCTGGGCATTGTGGCATGCACCTGTAGTCCCAGCTACTCAGGAGGCTGAGGCAGAAGGATCCTTAAAGCGAGGCAGAAGGATCACTTAAAGCCCAGGAGTTGGAGGCTGTAGTGAGCTACAATGACGCCACCACCCAGGGTGGGACTCTGTCTTAATAACAACAACAAAAAAAACAAGGAAACTGAGCACCCCTTCTCACAACCCCTGACCCCTTCATTAAAAAAAAAAAAAAAAAGAAAGAAAACAGAGGTGACTGCTTTACAAGGTGGCACACTGTACTTACCTCATCTGAGTGAGACTCTTCTTCCTCCTCCTTTCCCCCTTCCTCCTCAGGCTCTCCATAGGGACTGGCTGGTATATCTGCCAGGCAGGTGCCCTGGGGAATTTCCTCACCCTCAGCTGTGTACACGAGTTCTTCTTGCTCCACAGTCTCTGATTCCACGTACTTGAAGGGCACATTGCCGTAGCGCCGGGAGGAACCTGTCTTGGGGAACTGGAGTTGCAGCTGGGTGATGATCCGAGGGGGTAGACGGCAGGCC